GACGAAACCTAAAATACTATGTGGAGGATGCAAAATAATTTAATATGACCGCGTGGTGAACCTGTGAACCTAACTCATATTTAAACATGCTCTCCATGCTATGTACACATGCTGTGTACACTTATCTATCTTTACAATTACAATTGTGGCTGTATTATTTGTGTCCCCTCCTAAAATTGCCCTTGATTCCCCCGTTAGAGGAATGCTGACAGAAGATTTAGCCACATACACAGAGAAAATACTAAAGGCCAACACCTGTGCAAATAAAACATATGGAAAATAGAGAATAATCAATAAATAGAAAATAAAGAAAAAATATAGCAATTTCCATCACACTACAATACTAGTTTCTCACTAGAAATGATATCTAAACTTAAAACATGTGGTCAAAAATCTACATTTACACACAAAACGCCCAAATTGGCGTCCACTTTCATTTCTTAGCTCAACTCTCAGGGAATCGAGGACTGTGGGAGATCAGCAAAGGATATGATGCCAGAATTCAAACATTGATCAGGTGAAGGCAGTAAATGAAGCTCACATTGGATTCGGACTGGATCCTAGGATAAAATGAATCCTCAGAAGGAAAGATTTTCAGCTTTCAGGTTAACGAACGAAATTAAATGAACTCATCTCTCACTTCGTGTGAATTTAGTTTGACTGGTCTCACTTGCTAAACTGAGATAAACTGTTAGGAAAGATGTGAAGCAAACCACGGTGTCTCGTTCTTCTGTGAAAATGTCACAATGCTGTTCTCGTTTGCTGAGGACAACATGATATCGTGAGAATGCTGGGAAGACGCTACATGACAAATGAAACGTATCAAGTGTTTATCGCGCTTTCCTAACTACAGTATATATGGCAACATTAAGGAGGTTACGTATGAAAACAATGGGCCAAAGGGTATAAAAGCAGAGAAACATGCTCATTTATTTTTGTCTCACATTCTGCAGGGCTCACTGCTGTATTGTCTGACCTTCTTGCAAGAAACAATTTGTCTCATACCTTTATTAAAATAGAAAATGGCCACAAATTAAAAAATAAAAATAACCATTTTCTATTTTAATATACTTGAAAATATGTATTGCTGTGATTCAAGCTGAATTTTCAGCATCATTACTTTAGTCTTCAGTGTGTCACATGATCCTTCAGAAATCATTCTAATATGCTGATTCATTACCAATGAGAGAAATATTTTTGCTGCTTCATATTTTGCACCACTTGATCCTTCAGCTTCCTGAACAAGAACAGTTTGTAAAAACATCTGCTTTCCTTGTTGAAAGAATAAGCAAACTACAGGTGGTTACATATGCATTATAAGACAACTGAACATAATATGAAACTCATAAGAAAACACAATGATATTATTTATATCATTTAGCAAAATTACATACAAGAATAAACCTTTCTGACATTGTTCTTTGGGGAGGAGCTCCATCTTTGAGTTGAGCTGAATCTCACAGTAGAATCTGCTGGTTTTGAAGATGAAGATGAACTTTATTCACTATGAAACTTTAGATAATGTTTCTTTGTCATGTCACTTGTAATGTCTGGTTATGACAGATTTATCCAGATGATATTTTATTGCTTGATGTATTATTGCGTCTCATTTGGTGAGGACGCAGCATCAGACCTGAAAGTGCTGATCTGAAGATGATCTACTTACTGTGAATGTTTTTTGTATGATTGTGTAGAGCAGATGAACGATTGAAACACTTCCCACATGCAGTGCAGTGATACGGTTTCTCTCCAGTGTGAATCCTCTCGTGTTTACTGAGGTCTCCTGACTGACTGAATCTCTTGTCACAGTGTGAACATTTATACGGTTTTTCTCCAGTGTGGATCCTCTCGTGTGTTTTTACATGTGTTGACCGACTGAATCTCTTGTCACAGTGTGAACACTTGTAGGGTTTCTCTCCAGTGTGGGTCCTCTTGTGTGTTTTCAGGTCTCCTGACCGACTGAATCTCTTGTCACATTGTGAACACTTGTACGGTTTCTCTCCAGTGTGGGTCCTCTTGTGGTTTTCCAGGATTCCTGACTGACTGAATCTCTGGTCACATTGTGAACACTTGTAGGGTTTCTCTCCAGTGTGGGTCCTCTGGTGTGTTTTCAGGTGTCCTGACCGACTGAATCTCTTGTCACAGAGTGAACACATATAAGGTTTCTCTCCAGTGTGAATCCTCTCATGCAGTTTTAAACAATTTGCTGAAATAAAAGTCTTCTCACACTCAAAGCACATGTACTCTCTCACACCAGTGTGTATTTTCTGATGTTTTTTTAAATGTTCTTGACGTGAAAAACTCTTTCCACACAAATAACATGAATGTGGTTTCTCCTTTGAATGAACTCTCAGGTGACTCTTTAGGTATGATGCCCTCAAAAATAATTTGCCGCACTGATCACATACATATGGTTTCTCTGCCGTGTGGATCATCATGTGTTCTTTAAGGTTTGATGACCGTGTGAAACTCTTCCCGCACTGATCACATGTGAACGGTTTCTCTCCAGTATGAACTCTCATGTGCTCCATAAGGGTTCCTTTAAGCGCAAAACTCATCCCGCACTGATCACACGTGTGCGGTTTCTCTCCAGTGTGGATCCTCTCGTGTGTTTTTACATGTGTTGACCGACTGAATCTCTTGTCACAGTGTGAACACATGTAAGGTTTCTCTCCAGTATGAACTCTCATGTGCTCCATTAGGGTTCCTTTAAGCGCAAAACTCATCCCGCACTGATCACATGTGAACGGTTTCTCTCCAGTATGAACTCTCATGTGCTCCATTAGGGTTCCTTTAAGCGCAAAACTCATCCCGCACTGATCACATGTGAACGGTTTCTCTCCAGTGTGGATCCTCTCGTGTGTTTTTACATGTGTTGACCGACTGAATCTCTTGTCACAGTGTGAACACATGTAAGGTTTCTCTCCAGTATGAACTCTCATGTGAACATTAAGACTACGTTTGCTTGTCAAACTCTTTGCACACTGAGTGCAGGTGAGAGATGTCTCGGCTCTTCTTTTCTTTAAACCTTTCTGTTTGGTTTGAGAGCAACTCAAAACATTTTCTCCAGTTTTGACATGATTTTTCTCCTCAACTTCTCTCAGTTCTTCATTCTGCTTATTTCCTTCAATCAGCTCTGAAATAAAAGTAAAAACATTTCACTTACAGTCACTTGTAAAAAGCCAAGAAATGTGGACATAAAAGTGAACCCTGATGTAACATTATAAAGTAGACAATTGCATTACAAATTTGTTGTCGTTTTAATGCATTGTTATAAACTAAACTTTCCATGAATGAGGTACATTGCTCTTCAAATCATTATTTTTAAAACATTATAGGCACAAATCCCATGTTTGTATTGGGAGAACTATTAAATATATTTGATCAACTACACAATTATCTAACATACATTTTGTTGTAAAAAAAAAAAAAAGTATCCACTTTGCAATAATAAGGGACATTTTCTACAGAGTTTTAAAGATTTTCCTATTACAACAAATCTAAATCTGCTTGAAGCCTTATAACCTTCAGCATTATTATTGAGGAGTCAAAAATAAACACCAACCTGTTGGTTCTTCAGTGGGTTTCATTCTGCAGGGTTTGTGGGAGGAGCTTCACTGATGATGTGATTGTTGTGGGAGGAGCTTCACTGATGATGTGATTGTTGTGGGAGGAGCTTCACTGATGATGTGATTGTTGTGGGTGGGGCTTCACTGATGATGTGATTGTTGTGGGTGGGGCTTCAATGAACATTAATTTCTGTGAGGAAGAAGCAATAAATCAGTTAATGTTTTAACCAATTTACACTTTTAATTAAGCATTTAAGTTAAACAGATGCCCTCCAAATTATATCTTTCAAGAGACCAGAGCCTTGCCTCTCTGTAAACCATTATTAGTTTACATTTAGTCAGATGCTTTTATCTAATGTGACTTACAAGTGAGGGTAAAAGAAACAACAAAAGAGCAACAATATAAAAGTGTTGTGACAAGTTCAGTTTAGTCTAACGCAGTACACTTAGCATTTTTTTTAATAAATAAAAAATAAAGGGTAGATAGAAAATAGATAGAGCTAGTGTTAGAGAGTCAAATGTATATAGAATAGAAATATAATAAAGAGTTCTAGTGTTAGAGGATCAAGTGTAGATGGAAGAGATGTCTCTTTAGTCGTTTCTTGAAGATGGCTAAAGACTCAGCTGCTGGGATTGAGTTGGGCAGGTCATTCCACCAGGAGGGAACAGTTAATGTAAAAGTCTGTGATTATGACTCTTTGGGATGCACTACAATGCACTGTTCCCTTGCAGAACGCAAGCTTCTGAAGGGCACATAATTCTGAAGTAGTGAATTTAGGTAAAGGGGTGCAGAGCTAGTGGTTGCCTTGAATTTTATGCGACCAGCTATTGCTAGCCAGTGCAAATCGATGAACAGAGGTGTGACATTGCGCTTCTTTCCTATTCACATCAATTTAAAATGCTCATTCAGTAACACTGCACTCACATGTGGTAATTCACACATGCATTTCTGTTTTGTCTGTCTTTCTATTGTTAACATTTATATCCATATTTTTTTATTCTGCCCCCAGTATTAACATATAAGATATCTGTGTAGAAATAAAGGAAAAAATAATGCAAATTCTTCCAAATATAATTAACAGTAAGAATGAAAACAAATTATAAACACTAAATTTGATGACAACTAACAGGTAAATAGCTACACTAGAGCACAGAATATATATAGTTTGGTTTCAAACAACATTTATATAAACTACAGCAATAAAGCAATTAAATCAGTAACATGTTATAGTTTTATATACGCTACCACAAAGCAAAATTTTAATGTTTCCAGTGTCTATATTATTAATCTGTTCATATTCATGTATATATTTCAAATACATTCAGGTGGCTCAAGGAAGTATTTAGCAGCATCTGTTTTTAATTTTAATCATGTAAAGCACAGTAATTAATTGATTAAAGTTAGGCCACGTTCACACAGCAGCAGAATACAGTTGTGAGTCCTGTTTTGGAGTCCTTAATATGGTTACATTCACACACAGTTTGGTTATTTACGGGTGTGACAATCACATTCTGTAACCGAACTCACACTCGTACATTTTCAGGACTCACAACCGCATTCTCGGAACACACGCGCTGTGTGAACAGAACAACTGGTTGTCGGTCACGTCATTCAGTGCGAGAGGGTTGTGACGGTGAGGAAATTTTCCCACCGGTTAATCGACGTGTGACAACACCGGTATCACCGCGGGGGCAGGGCGTTCCCTCTTTTCCTCGCTTTTAAATAGCTTGTAAAAGCGGCATGCGCATTTTACTTTAACTTTTGAATTAGTGGCAGTTAGTCGTCAATTGCTTGAAGGCAACAATAAAATACAACGTCAAACTCACTTTAGCATATATATAAAACATAGAACTTATTAACAAAACAAATACACCATGCTATAGGGCAGGCTATGCCTAATATAAAATAACAAATAACTTACATAAAGTTTACTTAGCCTATTTTCAGTTTTGTATACCCAAGTAAACATGTATAATATATAACCAAATAAATAAGAAACGTAGAACGTTTATTAGCAAAACGAGTAAGAAAGCTTGGAGTGAGGCACGGCATACACCTTGATGTCAAATAAAATAAATAAATGACACAAAGTTTAAATAAAGTAAAAATCAGCAAACAATGTGGAAACAATTAAATAAGAAACGAATGTTTAAAAAACTTCCAAAATCACCTTAGATAAACGGCAAAAGTCAACAGGCTTTTCAAAATCCAAAATATTGCCAAACAGGCGCTTTTGCATCTCGTTTCGAAACTAAATCATCCGTGATAGTCTCGTCCGCCTCGCCTCGCCCGTCTCGCCTCGCCCGTCTCGCCTCGTCTGTGTCGTCTGTCTCGCCTCGCTCTTCTCGTCTGTGTCGTCTGTCTCGCCTCGCTCCGCCCTTCTCGTCTGTCTCGCCTCGCCCTTCTCGTCTGTCTCGCCTCGCCTCGCCCTTCTCGTCTGTCTCGCCTCGCCCTTCTCGTCTGTCTCGCCTCGCCTCGCCCTTCTCGTCTGTCTCGCCTCGCCCTTCTCGTCTGTCTCGCCTCGCCTCGCCCTTCTCGTCTGTCTCGCCTCGCCCTTCTCGTCTGTCTCGCCTCGCCTCGCCCTTCTCGTCTGTCTCGCCTCGCCCTTCTCGTCTGTCTCGCCTCGCCCTTCTCGTCTGTTTCGCCTCGCCCGTCTCGCCTCGCATGTCTCGCCTCGCCCGTCTCGTCTGTCTCACCTCGCTCTTCTCGTCTGTCTCGCCTCGCCCTTCTCGTCTGTCTCGCCTCGCATGTCTCGCCTCGCCCGTCTCGCCTCGCCCGTCTCGTCTGTCTCGCCTCGTCTGTGTCGTCTGTCTCGCCTCGCTCTTCTCGTCTGTCTCACCTCGCTCTTCTCGCCTCGCTCTTCTCGCCTGTCTCGCCTCGCTCTTCTCGCCTGTCTCGCCTCGCTCTTCTCGCCTGTCTCGCCTCGCCCTTCTCGTCTGTCTCGCCTCGCCCTTCTCGCCTTGCTCTTCTCGCCTGTCTCGCCTCGCTCTTCTCGCCTGTCTCGCCTCGCCCTTCTCGCCTCGCTCTTCTCGCCTGTCTCGCCTCGCTCTTCTCGTCTGTCTCGCCTCGCCTGTCTCGCCTCGCTCTTCTCGTCTGTCTCGCCTCACTCTTCTCGTCTGTCTCGCCTCGCCTGTCTCGCCTCGCTCTTCTCGTCTGTCTCGCCCTTCTCGTCTGTCTCGCCTCGCTCTTCTCGTCTGTCTCGCCCTTCTCGTCTGTCTCGCCTCGCTCTTCTCGTCTGTCTCGCCTCGCCTGTCTCGCTCTTCTCTTCTGTCTGTCTCGCCTCGCTCTTCTCGTCTGTCTGTCTCGCCTCGCTCTTCTCGTCTGTCTGTCTCGCCTCGCTCTTCTCGTCTGTCTGTCTCGCTCTTCTTGTCTGTCTCACCCCACTCTTCTCGTCAGTCAGCTTGACTCGCCTCACTGGAGAAATGAAATCTGATCTGTGATGCTACTGTCGTTCGGC